TCAGTTCTGCCCTCTTTTATTTATTTTTTTTGCTTTTTGGATCACACACAGCGATGCACAGGGGTTACTCCTGGCTCTGCACTCAGGAATTACTCCTGGCAATGCTTGGGGGGGCCATATGGGATGCTGGGAATCGAACGCGGATCAACCGCGTGCCAAGCAAATGCCCTACCTGCTGTGCCATTACTCCAGCCCCTTTGTTCTGCCCTCTTGGGAACACTGCACACTGGGTGAGTGGGTGTTTGGCAGAAGCACCGTCCACCCCCGGCCTTGGCTGCTTCCTGCCTCCACCCTTACAGTGAGACCCAGGAAGCTTCTGGAAAGGCAGCCTGGGAGCAGGTAGAGATGGGGGCTTTGCCAGGGTCCTTTATTGAAGGGAGCCCTTCCCAGCAGTGCCCAGGGGGCTGGGGGCTACTCTTGGCAGTGTGATTTGGGGGCTAGCGGGATGGCACCCCGTGGGGCCTGGGAGGCCACATGACCGGGGGCCCGGCACAGACGCGCTCCATCCTTTGAAGCCATCTCCCCAGGCCGTCCTGGTTCCTGGGGGCTGCCACCGTGCGCTCCTCTTTCCCGGAGTGGCCTCGCGGAGGAAGTGCCCTGTGCATGTGGGAAGGGAGGGGAGGGCCGGGCCACCAGCCCAGATCCTTGCCCGGCCTGACCGTGGCACCGAGGGCGGGGGCAACCGTGTCTCTGTGTGACCCGCACCCACGCACGGCGCTGGTGCTTCCTCCTGCCGTCCTGCCCCGGCGGGAACGAGGCAAAGGGCTTGGCCCCGAGCCCAAGGAAGAGATGACAGATTCCTCTCAGCCCAGGAGCAGGCGGTGAGGGATGTCGGGTTGCTCTAGTTCCTGTGGCCTGAGTCACAAATGGCCTCAGGATCTGGGCCACTGGGCCCAGGGGGTCCTAATCTACAGTAGCATCTGCGAGAGGCCGTTCAGGCAGGCTCCGGGGAGGCCTGCAAAAGTTGGCAGCGAAAGTGAGTGCGTGTGACTTGGTGTGCGTCTGTGTGCGTGTGTGTGTGTGTGTGTGTGTGTGAGAGAGAGAGAGAGAGAGAGAGACAGACAGAGAGACAGACAGACAGATAAGACAGACAGCTGTCCCATGGTCTCTCAGGGAAAGGGAAGGAGTCTCCCACCCAAGCCAGCACATCAAACCCTTGACTGGACAGGGGTCACCTGCAAAGGAGCTCTGCCGGCTGGACCCCACGGGAAAAATGACCCCTTCTAGGCTTCCTTGTCTTCGGGTGCGGGGGCAGCTTTGGCCGCCCGGCTAGAACACGGACCTGCAGCCTGGCTACCCGGTTTCCAGTCCCAGGTCTATGGCAGGCGGGCCCCGGGACTGGCAAGCGAGCCCCTTGCCCGTTCTGTGTTTATGTTTCTCTCTGCAAAACGGGGGCTCAGACAGCAGCGCCCAGATAGGAGGTACTCGAGACCAAGAGTTCCCAAAGTGGGTCGGGCAGCCCAGCACCCCCCCAGCCCCCCGTGCTGAAGTGATCCAGGGAGGCCAATAAGCAGCTGTGGGTGCCGTGCAGGGCGGAGGGTGCTGAGCGAATTTCTTTCTGTACAGAGGGCAAGGGCAGTAGGCCAAAGAAGTCTGGGACCTCTGCCAGGGGCTCTGTGAGCACGTCCCGGGCCCCTGGGGTGAATGGACAACTCCAGCCACGGCCGTACCCTCCCCACCCCGAGGGGCCAAGCTCGCAACAACGCCCCTTGCCAGGGCAGGGAGCAAACTTCTTTCTTTCTCTTTCTCTTGTTTCCTTTGGGGGCCACAGCCTGCAGTTCTCGGGGCTAACTCTGGGCTCTGCACTCAGGAATCACTCCTGGCTGACTCAGGGGACCATCTGGGATGCCAGGGATGGGACCTGGGTGTGCAGTGTGCAAAGCAAGGACCCTCCCTGTTGTGCTATGGCTCTGGCTGGCCTCTCTCTCTCTCTGTCTCTCTCTGTCTCTGTCTCTGTCTCTCTCTGTCTGTTTCTGTCTCTCTGTCTCTCTCTGTCTCTGTCTCTCTCTGTCTGTCTCTCTCTGTCTCTCTGTCTCTCTCTCTCTCTCTCTCTCTCTCTCTCCCTACCTGCTGTCCCACAGCTCTGCCCGCCCCCTCCCGCCCTCCACCCCACCCTCTTTCTTGCATCTCTCTCCCTCTTTCTCCCTTTTGGTTTGGGGCCACACCCAGTGATGCCATGCTCAGGGGGTGACTCCTGGCTCTGTGCTCAGAGGTCATTCCTCCTGGTGCTTGGGACAGGGCCCCCGGGGTAGAAGTGGGGTTCGGGCTCTTCCACACTGTCCTCTCTCTCTCCAGCCCCTTTCGGTGGGCAAGCTCGTTCTCTGGCTCCCCCCAGCCGGGGGCGAGTCTGTCCAGTGGCACTGGCCCTGCAGATAGCCAGAGCAGCACCCATCAGACGCCCCAAGCCAGGAGAGCTGCCTGAGCCCAGCGGCGCGGCAGGAACCGGAAGAGATGGAACCCCCACGCTCGGGAACAGGGCACACCTGCCTATAGTTCTGAGTAAGGGTGTGTTGTGGCGGAGAGAACAGACTAATTTATCTTTAACAATCAGAGGTGAAGTTTCAAGTCTTATTAAAAACCAACGGAAATGGGGACCGGAGCGATAGCACAGCGGGTAGGGCGTTTGCCTTGCACGTGGACCGACCCGGGTTCGATCCCCGGCATCCCCTAGGGTCCCCTGAGCACCGCCAGGAGTAATTCCGGAGCGCAAAGCCAGGAGTAACCCCTGAGCATTGCTGGGTGTGACCCCAAAAAGGAAAATTAAATAAATAATTAAACGGGAATGATCTCATTCGCATTTGTCTGTGCACTCCGGGAATGGTTTGATGTGTGTGGAGAGGGGCGGGAGAGGGCTGGCTTTTCTGTCTTCTTGGTGGTGGTGTACCTCCTCTGTTTCTCTATAGTGTCTCTGCATGGTTGTTATTTATCTGCCCTGGTTTGGTTTGCGGCGCCATAGGACCGTGTGGTGTGGGGGATTGAATCTGAGCCCCCCCGCCCAGCTCTCAGCGCTATCTGCCCCTCACTCATCGCCTTCCCGACTTGAGATTGTTCTCCCAGAGATGGGTGTGTTCGGCTGTCCACCTCAGGGGGGCCTGGGGGTCCATTAAGGAGAACTAAGACGTGGGAGCAGGCAGAAACGGGCTCCTGGCCAGAGGAATCTGGTGCTGGAACAGGGAGGTGACTTGGACACCGCACCTGGGCTGGCAGGCACCTGGGACAGTGGTTGCCGCGAGTCCTGAGAACTCAGCCCAGGTCTGGGCGGGACACACCCTAATGACAAGGCTGTGACTCCAGGGACAGTATTGTCCCCACCAGGACCCAGGCTGACAGGAGAGAACCTAGGGTTTACATTGGGGCAGACCCTTGAGGCTCAAGATCTTTCAGGCTGTGGCCACCAGCCCCAGTGGTCAACTGACCCCTTGAAATGTTGCTGTTAGAAGTGGGAGAGGCTGTTCCCAAAGTCCCACCAGTTTGAAGATTAGGGAAGGCAAAGTTCCCTGTGGGACCCCTTTTGGGGAGTAAATGCTGAAGTCATCATCTATTGAATAGGTTTGGTTTGATTATAAGTAAAGTAAAGTAAAGGCCCTCCCGTTGATCATCGATTTGCTCGAGCGGGCCCAGTAACGTCTCCATTGGAGACTTTGTTGTTACTGTGTCTGGCATATCGAATACTCTCGGTAGCTTGCCGGGCTCTCCGAGAGGGGCGGAGGAATCGAACTCGGGTCGGCCATGTTGGCTGCGTGCAAGGCAGACGCCCTACCCGCTGTGCTATCGCTCCAGCCCCTGGTTTGATTATATATATATATATTTTTTTTCGCTTTTTGGGTCACACCGGCGATGCTCAGGGGTTACTCCTGGCTCATGTATTCAGGAATTACTCCTGGCGCTGCTCGGGGGACCATAGGGGATGCTGGGAATCGAACCCGGGTTGGCCATGTTGGCTGCGTGCAAGGCAAACGCCCTACCCGCTGTGCTATCACTCCAGCCCCAGTAAAATATATTTTTAAAGTTCACTTTACCTTTTTTTCTTGTTATTTGGGTGCAGAGGTAAGGGAACAATGTCTCCTGAGCGCCGTCTGGAGGGCCCCAGGCCACTCCTAGTGGTGCTCAGGGAAACTTGCAGGGCTGGAAATCCAACCAGGGGGTCTCTGCGGGCCAGGCCTGTGCTCCAGGCCTTTGGATGGTCTCTGGCCCGGTTCCATTTTGCTTTCAACGTAGCTGCTCAAAAGTTTGTTACTGTTTGTTTGGGGGTCACACCTGGCAGTGCTCAGGGCTTAGGAACCATATAGGGTACTGCGGGTTTGAACCAGGGTTGGCAGCATGCAAGGTCAGAGCCTTTACCCCTGTGCTGCTGGACATTTTCAAGTGACACATGAGCTCACGCTGATGTTTCTATTGGGCTGTGCTGTGTTCCAGAAAAACCCGGAACCCTCCCCCAGGAGGCTGACCCTGTGACATTGCTGTCATTCTCCATCTCCGTCTCATCAACGAAGAAAGGCCCAGCTATGGGCTCCGGACGGGAGGTTTCGATGTTTGCAGTGGCAGACACTCAGACATACCTGTCCCAGTTCCCTTCTCCCAAGGGTGCCTGTTTCTTATCCTCATGACAGGTCAGGACTCACCTCCTCCTGGAAGCCTGCCTTGACTCCTGGCCTATCGCTCTGTCCCCTGACTCCTCCCTCCCTGCTCCGTGCTCCTGCGGGAGAGTGGCATGGCTGGCCCAGAGTTGGCACACCCCGCATGCAGTGTGAGCTGGCACGAAACAGGCAGCCAAGAGTGACCCCGGAACCGGAACCCTCTTAGCTGGAGGGACTGAATACTGTGCCGCCTGTGTCCAGGGCCCCACAGGCTGTCCTTGGCTCTCACCCCGGCAGGGCCGACACCCCGAATCCCAGCCCCAATGCCCTGAGCCTCGCGGTTGGCACCAGGAAGGGAGGGAAGGGAGGGGCGAGGCCCATGGTGGACAGCCCATGTCCCCACCCCGCGCGGAAGGTACTCACCAGTGGCAGGAAGGTGAGTAGGGGGCGCACTCTCGGCCGCGCCTTCAGAGTGGCCGTGCCACACTCACTCACGGTGTTGAAGCGCCCGTCTCCGTAGTAGATGCCATCTGGGGGAGACACAGAGGGACGAGGTGAGCCGGAGGCCAGAGGCACAGGGAAATGAGCTTGACCTTGGCCGCGGTGCGCAGGACGGAGCCCCGGCCCCACGATCTGCCTGTCTGACTCAGCTCTCTGGCATAACAGTGAGATCCGGGGGGCCGGGGAGGGCGTTTGCCTTTCATACGGCCGACCTGGGTTCGATCCCCAGCATCCCGTATGGTCCCCCGAGCACCGCCAGGAGTGATTCCTCAGCGCAGAGCCAGGAGCAACCCCTGAGCATCGCTGGGTGTGACACAAAACAAAAATAAATAGTGAGATGGGGCAGATACCCACGGGATTCACGTAAGGCCCCGGCCCCAAGCAGGACTGGCAGGGGCTGGGGTGGGGGGCAGTTGTGTTCCTGGGCTTTGGGCCCCAGCAGCCACATCTCCCTGACCACCCATCCCAGCCGTCGTCGGGGCGGGGGGAGGGGGCCTCTGAGACCTGGCCTGGGCCCCAGCTCAACTTATCTCTGAGAGCGGGAGAAAAACAAGTCAGCTTCGCTCTCAAGTGTTTGGATTTCTAATCTGGAACAAGGAGAGCGGAGGAGCGGCCCAGCCCTCCCCCTCCAGACCCTTGAGCGCACACACACCTCCCCCCTCCCCCTCCAACGGATGCGTGTAGGGCTGCACGCAGGGGAGGTGGCCTCCAGGGTGGGGCCGGCAGAGAGGGTCAGCAGGGGCCATGTGATAACGCGGCAGAAGGCCCAGCCCTGGCTCAGACTGGCCCTGTTGCTTGGCCCGCCGAGGCCTCAGTTTCCCCATCGGTGCAATGGGAACATCAGAGGGCCACTGTGGGGTACGCACGAGGGCCAGGTGGGGGCTGACAAATGTGACTGGCCCCTTCCCGAGAAAAGATGATACCATGGAATTTCTCCCTCCTGGAGTCCCTGGGCCCATGTTCAGGTTTGCTACGGAAGCGGGGGGGGGGGGGGGGGGGGAGCCAGGGAGCAACCGTCTGCCCTTCCTCACCCAGTCTCCCTCAGGAGCGGCACCTGCATGCAGGAGAATTTCACAGGCCGGAGTGATAGCACAGCAGGAGGGGTGCTTGCTACTAGGTAGGTTCAGTCCCTGGCACCCTGCATAGTCCCGCAGAATCAGGAATGATTCTTTTTTGTTGTTGTTGTTGCTTTTTTTGTTCACACCCAGCGATACACAGGGGTCACTCCTAGCTCTGCACTCAGGAGTTACTCCTGGCGGTGCTCAGGGGACCACATGGGATGCCGGGAATCGAACCCAGGTCGGCAGCATGCAAGGCAAACGCTCTACCTGCTGTGCTATCTCTCCAGTCCCCCAGGAATGATTCGATTCCCGGCATCCCATGTGGTGGGCCCCCCTCTGTGCTCTCTTGAGCACAGAGCCAGAAGTAAGCTCTGAGCACCCCTGGGTGGGCCCCCCACCAAAAAAAAATTCCATAGGCCAGAGAGAGAGAGAGAGAGAGAGAGAGAGAAAACAGGGGCTAAGGCAAACAGCCAAACCTGACACCACATACGTTCCCCCGAGCCCCACCAGAGTGATCCCTGAGCACTGCTGGGTGTGGCCTAAAAACCAAAACCAAAGCAAAATCAACCACTGCATAGGTCAGGGCATGGCCCAGCGCTAGGGCACATGCTTTGTTTGCATGAGACCTGGGTTCCATCCCCGGCTTCACTAAAACAACATGTCCTGCTGGACACACACCGGGCATGCAGGGGTCCCAGGGGCCCCCAGTTCTGCTAACCCCATGCAGCCTCAGCCAAGTACACGGGAGCGAGCCCCTGGACATGCTTTGGTGGACTCCCCACCCAAAAGAGATGTACGCACGGCCCAGGTTTAACTGTCCCCTCTCTGAGGCAGGGGCCTGTCGGAGCAGGTAGAACCTCTGTTTGTTTTTGGCTCACAGGGATTACTCCTGGGTCTGCAGTCAGGGGGACCACATGGGGGAGCTGGGCATCAAACCTGGGTCAGCGAAGGATGGTCAACACCGCAGTTCACCAGAATCTACTACGAGAAGCACTGAATTCATTGGGGATCCCTTTGTCCCCTGAATTTAGGAAAACTCACTGCAAGGAAGTTAAATGACTTGTTCCAAAGAGGTGGGGCTTGTCAGGGTGTCCTGGAATCAGGGGACCACCACACACACACACACACACACACACACACACATACACACACACGTTGGGTGGCCGCGGGGGCTTGCTTGAGTCCTGGGAGCCCCCAGTTACTGGATGCAATCAATTCTGAGCCAGTGAAGGTTTTTCACTAAGTGTGTTTGTGTGTGTATGTGTGTGTGTGTGTGTGTGTGTGTGTGTGTGTTGCCAGGAATGGAACCGAGGTGTCCCACATGCACGGCAAGTGCTTGACCCAAATATCCTTATCTCTTGCCTGATCTCCAAAAGGCAAGTTCTGCAAGTGCTTCCTCCTCACACCCCCTGACACTTAGAGGGCTGGGGTGCACGCGGAGTGCCCTGAACACTGAAGAATGTCGCCAGAAAAAAAGAAAACAATAACACACACACACACACACACACACACACACACACACACACACAAACCGATTTGGCTTAATCAGAAAGGACAAAGCTAGAGATAACTGGACACACCTATTCCTTGCCCCTGGCTTCAAGAATCTGCTTGTGGGGCTGGAGAGATAGTACAGCAGGTAGGCGCTTGCCTTGTACATGGTCAGCCAGGGTTCGATCCCCGGCATTCCATATGGTCCCCTGAGCCGCCTGCCAGGAGTGATTCCTGAGTGCAGAGCCAGGAGTAAGCCCTGAGCACCACCAGGCATGGCCCCAAAACAAGCAAAAAAAAAAAAAAAAGAACCTGCAGATGGCACCAGTGTCTCCCAGCTGTTTCTCAGTGGTGCCAGGTCCCAAGGTCCCAGACATGCAACAGCAGCTGTGAGAGGCAGACACTCACAACAGTGCCGGGGTCTGATACAGGGTCCCCGGGGCAGTTATAACGATATTAAGAGTGGCTGGATCTATAGCACAGCAGGTAGGGCGTTTGCCTTGTACGCGGCCGACCCAGGTTCGATTCTTCCGTCCCTCTCGGAGAGTTCAGAAAGCTACTGAGAGTATCCCGCCCGCATGGCAGAGCCTGGCAAGCTCCCCATGGCATATTCGATATGTTAAAAACAGTAACAAGTCTCACAATGGAGACGTTACTGGTGCCCGCTCGAGCAAATCGACCAACAACGAACGGGAGGACAGTGCTATTAGAGCTGGACCCCAGTGAGCACTACAGGGTAAAGGAAGCTCCCAGGGGGTCTGTTTCAGCAGTCTGAAAGGGTCTCTAAGCATCTCTCTGTCATTCACTGAGTGCAGTGGGGACACGCACCCTCCCGAGAGGTGCAGGTGTGAGCTCCAGGGCTCAGAGGGAGCTTGGCACTGGGTGACACACGGCTGCGTGGGACAGGGGTGCTGCTTGTGAGAACTCCACGGAACAGCAGCACCAGGAAGGGTGGGAGGGGCCCAGGGCTTGGCCCAGGCCCAGGGCAGAGGCCAGGGTGATGCGGCCCTCTGACCCCCCCTGGTCGAATGACTCTCCACCCACCTCAGAATCTGTGACTCAAGCCTGGCTCGGAGGCTCTGTGGTTTGGTCTACGGTGATTCTGAGCAGGAAAACCCTTTCTAAGAATTCAGCTATTCTCCGGGAAACTTATCGGCGGGGAGAGGCGGAGGCAGGAGGAAGGCCGTGGGCACCTCTGAGAAATGCCGTTTCGTTGCCCAGTGCCGAGAGGGGTGGCTGAGTCGGAGGGGGGAAGGGAAAGGGGAGGAGGAGAAAGGGCAGTGGTGGGACCCCCGCCAGCACTCGGGGGGCTCTGAGCTCTGAGAGGGACCATGAGTGGCGGAGGTCAGCGGGCAGAGGGCGAGAAAACAGATTCCCCCTGGCCGCCCAGAAAGGGCTGGGTCTTGCCAACAGACAAAACCAGAACCCAACAGGGGCTGGAGCAATAGCACAGGGGGCAGGGCGTTTGCCTTGCACGCGGCCGACCCGGGTTTGATTCCCAGCATCCCATATGGTCCCTCGAGCACCGCCAGGATTCCTGAGCGCAGAGGCAGGAGTACCATATGGGGGACCATATGGGGGAGCTGGGCATCACCCCTGAGTATCGCCGGGTGTGACCCAAAAAGCAAAAAAAAAAAAAAACAGAACCCAATAAATGGAGACGTTACTGGGCCCGCTCGAGCAAATCGATGAACAACAGGAGGGCAGTGACAGTGATATTATTGCAACAGATAGGTCGCCTGCCTTGCACACAGCTGGTCTAGAGCACCGTCAGGAGTGACCCCTGAGCACAGAGCAAGGCACAAGGCCTGAGCACTGCCGGATGTGCTCCCCCCTCCCCAAAAACAGTTTTAAGAGGAAAAAATTGTGGGAGCTTGAGAGCAAGTGCAATGGGTAGGGCGCTTGCCTTGCATATGGCTGACCCTAGTTCAATCCCCAACACTCCATATGGTCCCCTGAGCCCTGCCCAAAGTGCTCCCTGAGCACAGAGCCAGGAGTAAGCCCTGGGCACCACTGGGTGAGGTCCCCATAAAAAATGTGGGGGAATAGCTAGGAGCGGACAAGCTTCCCCTAGACCCCTCACACCTGCACTCTGTTCCCAGCTGGCCGAGGCCACAGCAAGTGAGACCGCTGTGGCCACACCAAAGCTGGGTCCTCCGAGGGTTTGAGGGCAGGGCAGGCACTTCCGAGACTTGGAGACAAGATCCAACTAAAGAGAAGACGATGGCGTCCACTTGGGGCATTTCCTGGCCAAGCCCAGGAGCGTGGATCAGATCAGAGGATCTGGGAGGATGGGAGCGGGGGGCAGTGCTCCTGGGAAGCAGCCCCTCCTCAGCTGAGGGCATAGAGGGGGACTCCGGGCTGCCTCGGCTCCTAGTGGGACTCAGGGGACCCTCAGCAGTGCCAGGGATCGAGTCTGGAGCAGCCCCTGCAAGACAAGCGCCCTAACGTCCCTGTATTATCTCTCCACCCGACCT